TTTAAATCTATGTCTAGAGTTTATTGGTTAATAACTAAAGAAATTAGATCAAGACTTGGAAAATTATGTCTAGAGTGATTCAAACTATAAATACAACATTAAAAGCAAAGATCTTCATCATCTATTGATCATAAACCTTGTTCAAATACAAAGGATCAAAAGAAATACATAATAGCAATATTAACTACCTTTAATCTTGACACAACAGTGTTTAGCTACCCATCATTATGGTAGCTTGATCAACAAGTAAAAAGGAAATCTTTGCTAGCATCAAAGTCGAAGAATCGAGGATTGATGCTCCAAAGATTTGATTCTCACTTCTTCTTGAGTTTCTAAGCTTTTTTGACCTAAAAACCCTTTCTAATCTTTAAAATGCTGAAAAGTGTAAAAGTTACAAGAGTTGGTAAAAATATCTTCTAAGGAAGATATTTATAGCAAGTTCCTAAAGTGCAGTAAGTGGCACCGCGCTAAGCGCCATCAGGAGCACGCTAAGCACAGTCAGCAAAATAGAGGCAAAATCTCAGAAAGCGCGCTAAGTGTGGTAGCAGACCGCTTAACGCGGTTGAAGGCCGTAGCTACTGCCTCAACAATAAAAATGTGTTAGAACCGCGTTGAGAAGCGCTAAGCACGGTTTACCGATGCAATCGCTTTGAAAATAATCTTTTAGGCCTTCTTTCCTTCACCATAGGTTCCTACCATCAATTATAAGCACGAAGACCTGTCAAAAAGCATCAAAATGATCATATTTTAAAATATTTAAAATAAAATCGGAAACTTTCATATTTACACTAAAACTAATAGATTTACTACTAAAATATCAAGGAAACCATTAGAAAAGGCCATAAAATATAATCAAAAGTATGCATAATTTGACCCTTAACAATCCTAAGGATCCTAAGGAATGTCTAATGATGATGAACCAAGTTGATACTTCCTTCGGAGTCTCCTTATCTCTCATTCATAGCTTTCATTCATAGTGGTGTTCTCTAATACGAGCTGATCCATGATACATTTCCAAGCAACAGAAGTAGGAGGATGTGATGGTGAAGTATAGAGGAAAATAAATCATCTCCATGTCTCTTCACAGCACGTTGCTCAAGCAACTCAATCAAGTCATCTTTCTCCTTCATCTGCTTATACAACTCTAGTTTATCAAGGTTTGAAGCATGAAAATTGGATTCCCAAAGATCTTTTTCTTGCTCCATCTTGACTAAAGCATCTTAAAGAGTCTTCACATCATCAGAAGGAATGGGTAGTAGTGTAGCAACCACTATAAAAATGGGTTTCTCAAAAGCATAAGGCATTTTGAGCTCCTTAGCTCTCCCCTTCACCCAAAGTGTATAAGTTTCCCAAGGCAATGCAAACTTATCTTCCAAGCTCTCGTTTACCCTTCCTATGAATGTTGCACCAAGAATGAGCCATTCTTCTCCTCAAACCAAGAGAGTCATTCCCTCCTTGAAAGAAAAAACCTTCTAATAGGACATTATTAGGCTTATCCTTCAACATATAACCAAGTTGACTGCGAGTTAAACTCGGGTTGTAGTTAATTCCACCTTGTATACCAACAAGAGGTACATTGGAGAATTTCCCACAACTATCAATAATCTGGAAATTCTCATAAACAGAAGAAGACCAAGTAATGTTAGCATGAGTAAGGGACATAATCCTTTGAGACCATCTTAAACAGCTTTTGTTCTCCTTGAAAGTAGATGATTGTGGCCATGGCGAAATAAACCACTTGTACAGTAGAGGTATGCAACAAAAAATGGTACCATTCCCCTTAGAAGTCCTATAATGGATGGAAAAGTAGGTATTACCAAGTAAAGTCGGAACAAGGTTCCCAATCAAGAAAATCCTAATGGCGTTAGCATCCTCAAAGCTATTAACATTAGGGAACAAGACTAGTTTGTAGATAAGCAAAGCAAATATAGCCTCAAATGAAGTAGCTTTCTCAACCAAGAACTTAGAAGTCAAACCCTTAATGCCTCCCTTAACAACAAGGTTAGCATCTATATCATATTTCGTCAAATGAACGGCTGCAACAATAACTTGGGATTTGGGAACTTCCTCAAAACCAGTATAAGGAACAACATCAGAAACGGATATACCCAACAGATAAGTAGACTCCTCCAAGGTCGGCATGAGCTGATAATTAGGAAAAGTAAATCATCAGTAAACATAATCATAGAATTGCACAAGGGTATTTATAATTCCGTCTTCAATGTTGGTAGAAAGAACATATAGAAGTCTTCCACGATGAGATCTGAAGTCCGCAGGATCAACTACCAAGGATGATAGCTTTTTCAAGTCTCTAAAATCAGGAGCTCAAAATTTTACTTTTGATTATTTCTCCTTCCAATGTCCATAATCACAAAATATGCGATGTTTGTAAAGGAAAATATCTGAGATCCTTGAAAACTGATTGGATCAAAATGTCTATGAATGCATGAGCGTATGATGCAACAAGCACAAACAAGATCACAAACAAGGTTTGGGTTCTGAATCACGAGCATAGAGCCAAGGGTTAGAACTACCCACAATGGTATGTACTAAGGTTTATATCCACCTGTAGAACAAGGTTCTAAATAGTTCTCATAGTCATGATTCCATCTTTTGGATATTATCGGCTTAAACGACTACTCGTTAGCCAACAATATTCTCAAGAGAAACTTGTCTAAGTGTGGTATCGTATCATAACCAATTCAAGTCTACACCTGAATAGCAACCACACTATGTCCTAATAAGGCCAAGATGGGTTAAAGGGTTCTAAGCTCCTTAGCTTCTCGGGCTCTCGGGTCATAAAAAGTAATGCCAAATACGACTACTCGTATGACATCAGTAATCAAAAAGGGGCCTCCACTGAGCGGGGGATCTCAAGTCAACTTAGTAAGGGCTACTCCATGTAAGCTAAAAAAGACTATACCATCCTCATATCATAAGTGCTCTCAAGTCTGGGTTAGGACTTATCTCATCACTCAGAGATCACTAAAGCACCAAAATAAAACAAACAACAACAAACAACATATATAATACAAACATATATAAATAAAGATAGGCTCAACCGACTAGGGAATACTCCCCAGCAGAGTCGCCACTTTTCTGTAGCGAGAAAATTTGAGATTAATCTATTGATTAACTTAAATAAAAAAACAAGAGTCCCGAACGCATTTTTATTTTATCCAAAGAAAAGGAAAAAGAGCGAACAAAACATAAAGAAGTTCTAAAACAAGAAAAAAATAAACTGAGACAGGGTAAGGGGTTGGTTACGCAAAGGGAAGGTGTTTAGCACCCAAAATATTTACAGTACTCTATAGGAACCTCTTTGTAAATCAAACGTTTGGCTTATAAAAATGGTGTTGTTTGCAAAAATATGGAGGAGGTGAGAAGAGAAGTACTTTTTATGATTTTTGTGTTTGATATGACTTCTTAAGCCTCGTGCCTACGTACCCACAAAATGAAATGGAGGATCAAAACCTCGTAGTTCAAGGATTGAAACTATTAATCTGGGGTTTCAACTTATCAAGCTTCTTTTTATTTTGGTCTTTTATGGAATTGATCTCTTTAGTAAGCATTCTTGGAGCTATGGCTTTATTTGAATTTTTGTTCATGCCCTTTTATTATTTTTGGCAAGTGGTTTGTATCAAGACTTGTGATTTTTGGACATTATTTCAAGACTTGGTTCATGTGAAGTTTCATGTCATTTTAACTTCTTCATTCATCATTTTTTACAAGCGGTTTGTAATCATGTTGATGTAACTTTTGTAAAGGACAACTTGGTTAGAAAAAAAATATAATTGGAGAGGAAAAAAAAGATATATATATATATATATATATATATATATATATATATATATATATATATATATATATATATATATATATATATATATATATATATATATATATATATATATATATATATATATATATATATATATATATATATATATATATATATATATATATATATATATATATATATATATATATATATATATATATATATATATATATATATATAATGGATTTGGATATGGATATTTGAATGGATAGAAATGGTTTCATGGATAATGAATGGATTTAAAATGGATATTGAATAGAAAAGGTGAATTTATGAAAGATATGGAAATAAGACATTGAAAGATACATGACCTCAACTTATATGCCAAGCATGCCATAAATTTTAAGTAAGCCATAAACAATGAATCTTCCAACTTGAACCAAGTCTTGAATGAAACAAGTTCCTAAGAACTTGATGCCATGATGAACTCAAAGATCAACACTTGCATCACAATCAATCAAAAAGTCTTGATCTAGCAAAATTCTACTCACATTGATGATCTAATCACAAAGATAAATTCTTGAGGAATCCTCATTAAAGATATTGACCTGTGACGCAAAAAAATAACAGAAACCCTGAGATGATGATGAACTTGCAATAGAGAAAGAATAATGCTATTGAAATGAAACCCTAGCACCATGAAATTTAACTGAGAAACCATTATCAATACTCAAGCATAGTGAACTGAAACCCTGATTCTCTTGTTCTTGAAAAATCTTTGATGAAGACATCCTGGTAACTTGACGAATCTAACTTTGAACCATACTTCTCATGAATCACTACTTGATAACCACAAGATAACTTAACCTTGGATACACATTGCCTGAGAAATATCCCACTGACACATGTAACTTGCAATTGAAGCAAACTCTTGATGGTTTGATCAAGATGAGGTCAAACTTCCATCATATTTTGACTTGGAACCACCTTGCCATTAATCTTTCTGCAAAATCCTAAACACACAGAGAAGAAGAAACAAGAAAATTGCAACATATTTTTGGTATTTTGGTTAGAGGTTAGTAAACATAAACAAATATAAAGCAAGTAAAAAACACACAGATGCTTCGTGATCTCCCTCAAAAGCTAACCCACATAGGAGGAAAAAAGAACTGATGTTTGTGATCTTGATGCATTGTGAAGATGCAAATGAGGTGGAATCTTAGGGGTAAAAATTAGGGTATGACAGGGTGATGCCAACTTCTACTAATATACGCGCATATGACACTCTTAGCTTATTTGTCGTAAATTCATCTGTCACCACTGGTGCGTCAATCGCACTCCCAATTTTGCTCAAGCTTCGGGCCCCCCAAAGATGCAGAGGCAATTGAAAGAGCTTTACCCACAATGGCATCGTTTTTAGCATATCCTTCTTCATGTTGAAGTTTGATTTCCATTCACGTAGCAACATTGGACGATTGTGAATTGTATAAGGTCCCTTCGTCAAGACGGAGTCCTTATCATGGAATGAGTGAAATTGCAGAATGAAGAACCCTTCATCGTTGTAGAACATATTAGGCAATTTCACGAAATTCCAATTCTTCATAAACAGCTTGACCACATTCACACTCAGCTCCTCACCTAGCACATGCATGATGAGAACAGATTCCCAGAACTTCACTTTTGATTCAACATCTACTGCTTCAATTTCAATTTCCACTTCCCCATCAACAACCCCAAGTGCGACAAATTTCATTGTTAGGTCCTTCGCAAGGTTTCGATTTTCATTGATAATGATAGACTAAATATATTAATTATTTAATAAATCTAAAAAGGTACAGCGTCTCTTATAAAAACAACCGGAGGGAGTTCATGGTCTAATTTGAATACAAACTCTCATATTTTCACCACTTTATTGATATTTCACTTTTTAGATACATACAATAAACTCTTATTCACTACTACTAGCACAATACATAATATTCAAATGAAACAACTCTTACTCCCAATTTATTATTGTATAATCGCTTATTTGTTTTAGCTTCCCATATAGATTCTATATATTTGAGATTGATCAAATGCTCCATTGCTATGCACAACAACATAACTCTCCAATACAAGCTCCAGTACGAAATCCATTAACCTTGCACGTTAGCAGACAATTATTATTGCATACCGCAGGGCATTGAACTGGACTAATGAAATCCGGTGTTGCTCCTGCTTCAAAAAATTAAATTCACAAATTAAAACTCTTTTTTACACTATATATTTACATCTTAACAATGATGTACAAAAAGTAACATACATGAAAAATGAAAAATAAAATATTTTCCATTAAGAACAGAAAACTTTTGTTAATTTTCTTGCCTGAAGTCATGGCAAACGCAATACAAAAAAGTCCCAATAGAAGATATTGGCAAATGAGCTTTGCCATTTTTCTTTGAAGATTTTCTTACAACTCTATTTTCTTTTGTTCTTGAAATATGCATAACAATGCTCAACTTCTTTATATAGTACTCAATTGGTAACAGCTTTAAGAATTAATACGTATTTTTTATTTATGTATTAAGTAATAATAATAAAATTAAAGGTAATTTTATATTATCATTTAATAGGGATTGATCATCAATCATGTCAAATGACTAATTTAAAAATATCAATATTACTTAACCGACGATTCATTGACACTATAAAATTATTTTATATGTATTTTTTTTTCTTCTTTAATTTAATATATATATCATAATAATTTAACTCATATACTAGACGACTACTTACTAAATAAATTTAAAATATACATATAATATAAATACCCATAAAGTAGAGAAAGAAGATTGAAAAACAAAGAGGCATATATTATAACTCATCAATTTATTTAATATATGAAAAAGTGACAAGAGGATTACTTCAATTGTATAGTTTTCCTATTTTGTTGTTGTTAAATGTACCAACTATCCTCAAGAAAATAGGTGACAATGACTCTTCACATATATCTATTAAGACTCCACACATATATCTATTAATTTTCTTTAGAAGTAAAATTTATTTGCTACAGAAAAAAAATGACATAAAAAAGTCCATACAACGTATATTTTTTGTTAAATATCTCTAATTTTTCCTACAATAAAAATTATAATTTTCCATTTATTTTTACAATGAAAAATATGAATATTCTCAATTGCTATATGATTATTCGATTGCATGGAAGGATATGAAAGTTAGACATATATATTGATACTTGTCATATAATGGAAAGATAAGGAAGTTAGACATTTATATTGATACTTGTCATATAATGGAAGTTAATCCATTGAGGCATATTAGCTAGATCAAGTTTTTCTTCTTTTGATAATTAGTGATAATTCTCATATTAGAAAATGAAATTCTTTATCCAATTGGGTTGGATTGTGATTCGATCACGGAACGAGAGATTGATATGATGAAGGAAATCAGTCTTTCTAATTCAATGACAAGAATTTCATGTATTCGATCATGGAACGAGAGATTGATCTGATGAAGGAAAATAGTCTTTCTAATTCAATGACAAAAATCTCATGTGCAGTGTCAGTAAGATTAACATTTCAATGTAGAAGTAAGTTAAGAAATATATTTTTATCGAATTTTGCATTAAACTTATCAAGGTTATCCTTAGTATTATTTATGACAAAGAATTTGTGTCCGAAGATGTGTAGAGATATGCAATGTTTGACTTTCTACCTTTGTAGAAATCATGTGATTGTCTTCTTTAAGAAACATATAATATCATAACCCGAATACTTATATAACAAGTCGTGCATACGACATCCGTCCAAAAATACTTTGGTAGATTTGTTTCATTTATCATTGTCCTTGCAAGTTTCTCTAAAGATGTATTCTTCATTTCAACAACACTGTTTTGTTATGGTGTCCTTGGTGTAGAGAAGTTGTGTGAAATACCATTCTCATCACAAAATTATTTAAATGATGAATTTTGAAACTCTCCACCATGGTCAATTCGAATTTGTACAATCTTAATGGGTTTTTCATCTTGGACTAACTTGACATACTTATTAAAGGCATTAAAAGTGTTGTGAAAAATGATGCCTTGCAACAAAATATACACAGTTTCTTTATAGACAAAAACACACAAGGGTTAGGGTTAATAAAGAAAATAAGGGAAAACAATAAGGATTGGTTATAAACTTCTATTCTTTCCTTTCTCTATCAAATAAGATTACAAGTATATAAGAATAACAAGTAACCTCTCTCTCTTGAATTAGGATTTTATCTTTCTATTTTTCTTTATGCAAGTTAAGAGACTAGCATGCTATTTATAAGAAAACTAACACACTAACCTAATGGGATTTTTAACAATTATCCATTACAAGCTAACTTAGGGTACAAGCTAACTTAAACAATTCAGCTTACAAGCAAGTCCCAATTCAACATGCTAACAAACCTAGCAAAATTGCCTAATGCATGTTAGAACAAACTTCGACTACAACACACATTACTCTGACAAGAGCATGTGAACAAACTTCGGCCTCATGCTTAATTCCTGTTGAACCAGAAGCTACCCTTCGACCACACTACAGTTCGATCCAATATCTCACAAATATCCACCTTGGATCTAACTCTATAACATCAAGAAACAAACTAACTTTCTTCATGCAACTTTATCAACTGCATACAGTGGAAAAACTTACAACTGGGCAACGTCTTGGTGATCATATCAGCAGCATTATGATCTATCGAAACCTTTAGCACTTGCAGGCCCTAAAACATCAGCATGAATGTAATCCAGTGGAGCTTGAATCTCACAAATCCAATACCTTAAATTTTGCAAGATTTGTTGTTTCCCAGTAGTACCAATCCACCGTCTTGATCACATAGCTCCTCGAACAACTCTCTGTTTCGAGTCATGTGTCAAGTGCAACCTGAATCCATAATACACTCCTTTCTTGAGTCGCCGCTTGAAACTACAAGGACATCAGATGAGTCAAATTCATCTTGAAAATTGGTTGTGTTTCCATTCTCCTTACCTCCATGATCTTTTAGGCGTTCAGGGCACACCTTTCTTGTGTAACCCTCCTTCTTACAGTGATAACATCGAATACCAGATGCTTCGCCACTATAAGACTTTTGTTTACTTTTACCTTTCTTCTTGTCGAACATACCATCCTTTCGCAAGAATTTTTCCTTAATGGCCAAACCTTCTCCTACCGTCAAAGGTTTATGCTCCTTTTATTCATTCAAGTCCTTAGAATACAAGGCTGATTGAACTTCTTCAAAGCTCAGAGACTCCCTTCCATACAAGAAAGCTTCTTTGAAGTGAGCATGTGTTTGGGCAAAGCACACAAAAATAATAGTACTTGATCTTCATCATTTATCTTCACATCAATATTTTCAAGATCAAGTAATCATGACAATGACCCTTACATAGAGTTAACAAACTCTATCTTAAAGTTTTAGTTTGAAGGATACTCCTAACAAGGGGTAGGTCTTTTAGACTTAAAGAAAAGTCTAATGGATGTAGGTTCTAACTTAACTAAGTTAAAGAACCTAATGACTTAACCAAGTCAGGGGATGGGTAATGAGCTATCTATGACTATGAAGTCAATAGAGAGACCTTCCTTTGGAATAAGAGAATAACAAGGCAACTGGATGAGAACTAAAAAGTTCCATCACTTGGGGAAAGAAACTTAACAAAACCAAAACACACATAAACATTCATTCAAACATGATGTAGATATAATAGTCATGGTAACAACCAAGAAAGATTTAGGGCAAGCATGTAACAACATCAAGCAAAGAACAAGGTTACAACCAAGTATTTAATAATGAAAATATCAAACCAGATGGTTACAACCAAAGGTAAACAAAGATGTTAAAACATCAAAGAGGGGATGGTGATAAAGGTTCTTAAAATACCAAACATATCAAGCATAAGTCAAGACATTACTTATCATGGAAAATTTAAAGATTATGAAGGTATCAACCAATAAAAGCAAATATGAAGCATGTGTGACAACAACAAGTTCATCAATGATAGGAAAACAAACATCATTTATACAAGTTACAACTTGGCATGTGGGTCAAATAAAGATGAATGTGACAACATTCAATCATTTTCAAGACATATCAATCATGGATAAGCAAGAAGAGTGGCAACAGTTCAAGCATGGATTCAAACTTCACAAGGGGAAAGATGAACAAGATTCATGGTGACAACCAAGGCAAGGATCAATCCTAAAACATGTTATGGTTTTAACAAGACACATAAACAAGTGAGATGAGGTTAAGGGATCATGTTCAAGGGGTTACAAGATCAAGAAGCATGTTACAAATCAACAAAAGTTTCAAAGCATTATTTTCATGTTCATATCTTTACAAAGGCATGAATAAGCATGGTAAAGAAAAGAACCAAATGTTTTCAAACATACAAATATTTTAATCATTCAAAAATAATTCATACAAGATCAATCATGTAAGAGAAATCAAGTATTAAGTCAAGGAAACCCATGAAAATAAGTAAAAACCCTAAAAAAGGTCATATCTTTCAAGTGAATCAAAGTGTTTCAAAAAATGACAATTCTTGAATTATTTCTTCACACATTGAAACTAGACATATCAAAGAGAACTTTTAAAAAAGAATGGCATCAAAATGATAAAAATAAAAGAAGTTATGCATATATCAACTTACAAAGAAAATCATGAAAATTAATGGTAAAAAAGATAGGGAAATGTATCCTATAGGGTCTGAACCCACGCCTTAAG